ACAAGGTGTTCTCAGAACTGGAGATGGGCAAAGATTGACTATTTAAGGCCTAAACTTGACCCATGATAAATTGTGAATAGGCATTGATGTGCTAATCAGTTGGTCAGCCTTGCAGGAAGTTCAGACCAAGATGCAGGATTTTTCTGGGAACTTTTTGCTCACAGTTCCCATTTGTTCAGGGCTGGGGTGTATTTATTCCCACATTACTAGGAAAGGTTTCCTAGGACCCAATGATGATGCTGAGTAGCAAGCAGGAAGAGCAGTCTTTAGGAAAGAGGACTAGAAAGCCAGTAAGGAAGAAATTCCTAGACTATTAGCCACCATAAGCTGGATCTGATTACTCTTGCTAGCAAGTTCATCTGTCCTGATGCTGTTGCCTTCCTTCACTGATATTACAACCAGCTTCAGGTTTCTTACATAGACTGAAGACCAACAGCACTCCAAGAATCCTTGCAGGCCTTCAGCACCAGATTGGGACTGCTGAGACATCTAGCTTCATGGACTGGGTTCTCGGCCTCTCCAGTGTGAGACAGCCATTGTTGACTACACAGACAAAATTGTGTAAACCAAACTAAGAAATTCCTTTTTATTTATTTATTTAGTCTTTTTGAGACAGGGTCTCTCTGTAGCCCCAGCTGGCCTGTAATTCACTATGTAGAGATCTGGCTGCCTCTGCCTCCCAAGTGCTGGGACTAAAGGCGTGCACCACCACACCCAGCTCAAGAAATTCCTTTTTAATACAGATTCATTCTATAGGTTCTGTTCCTCTAGATAACTCTAATACAAAAAAGCCTGGGCCTAACCTCAGTCCCATACTATTCCTTGGCTCTAAGAAGCTGCCTACCACCAGATCATGATCCAGCCTGTCCTTATCCTTTGTCACCTTGTATCTCCTGGCTATCATTACATCCTTTCTTGCCCTACTGCCATGCTGAGCTTACCATCAGAATCCCAGAGAAGTGTAATGGCCTCATAACTGTTCTCTCTGGGTTTGTCCCTTTAAAGTATTTCTCAGGCTGGTAGTGGTAGTAGTGATACTTAGTGGTCTTGGGTTGGATCATTGAAGGGGAGAAAAAGCATCTGCCCGTTGCCAAAGCCTTATTGGTAGAAATGAAATCATTCCTTGCCTAACAACTTCACCATAGCCAGGTGTAATGGTGCACACTTTTATTCCAAGTACTCAGGAGGCAGAGGCAGGTGGATCTTTGTGAGTTCCAGGTCAGCTTGGTCTACATAGCGAGTTTCAGGCTAGCCAGGGCTACATAGGGAGACCCTTTTCTCAAAAACAAAAACAACAGGATCTGGAGAGATGGCTCAGAAGCTAAGATCAGTGACTGCTCTTAGATCTTAAGATCAGTGAAGACCTGGGTTTGGTTCCTAGCACCCACACGATAGGTAATAACCATCTGTAACCCCAATTCTAGGATCTGACACCCTCCTCTGGCCTCCTTGGGCATGCTTGTACAGGTACACTTACATACATGCAAGCAAAACACTCATACACATACAATAAAAATTAAATTTAAATATTTTTAAAACAAAACAAATAGGGGCTGGAGAGTTGGCTCAGTGGTTAAGAGCACTGACTGTTCTTGCAGAGGACCTGGGTTTGATTCAAAGCACCCACATGGCGGCTATGAACCGTCCTTAACTCCAGTTCCAGGGGAATCTGAAGCCCTCTTCTGACCTCCACAGCATTGCATGACATGGGTGCACTCACATACATGCAGGCAATACACTTGTACACATAAAATAAAAGTAATAAATAAAATATTTAAAACAAAACAAACAAAAAACCCCCACTTTGCTGTATCTTCCTGTGGTCTTGGGCAAGACTGCTGGCCTCTCTTTGCAGTGACCCCTTGAGAGCAGGGGCATTTGCTGTGGCAAATGTCATGGTAGGACAAGCATGAAAGTGTCTTCCACTGTTCGACAGAGTATTGGCTGAAAGGAGTGCAGCTGAAACTGTAACCAAAGGTGGCATTATGCTTCCAGAAAAATCTCAAGGAAAAGTACTGCATGTAGCAGTGGTAGCTGTGGGACCAGTTTCCAAAGGAAAGGTAGAGAGATTCAATCAGTTAGCTCAAAAGTTGGGGACAAGGTTTTCCCAGAATATGGAGGCACAAGGACAAGGATTTAGTTATAGTGACAGTCTTGAAAAGTATCTAAACCAAAGCCACTATTGAAATGGCATCATGTGAAGCTGCCCATGCCTCTAAAGTTCTGAAATATCCCACGATGTAAACGTAATAAACTGATGATATCTAACTTTAAAAAAAGCAAAAACAAAAAAACAACAAAAGAACAATAGCAACCAAAAATGCCTCCTTACCCTGGTAGCTGGCCAGCTGCATCCCTTCCCAGACCTCTGCCTAGGAGACCTGTTTCTTAACACTTTTATTTTGTTGCTGTTAAAAACAGAAACCAGGGTACCTCAAACTCCCTATATAGCAGAGGCAAGCCCTGAACTTTCAATCCTTCTCCTCCACCTCCAGAGTTCCTTCCGGGATTATAGGTGTGACCAACCTACCTTGGCTTTTTTTTTAGACAGAGTCTTGCTATGCAGCCCAGACAGGCCTTAAACTCATGATCTTCCTGTATCCCTAATGTTGGGATTATAAGCATGAGCCACCATCTATTAAATATTTTTTGCTTGTTTGTTTTGTTTGACAATTCTGAGAAATGCATCTATGGTCTTCTACATGTTAGTCAATCACTTCACCCCTGAGCTACCCACCCTGTTTCTCTTTTTACCTTTTGAGACAAGGCCTAACTAAGTTGCTCAGGCTGGCCCTTTAACTTACTCTGTAGGCCAGAAGGACCTTGAATTTGTCATCCTCCTTCCTTAGCTCCCCAATTAGGTGGGATTACAGCCACCAAGCCCCTTCCTCTGTCCTTTTGATGGACATATTTCAGGATCTGTTCCCTTTAATAACCCAACACTTTGCCTGGCACACAGAAGGTACTTAATTTATAAAACTTAATTCTGTGGGTTTTAACTTCTCAGCTATCTCTTAGTTGACTAATCTTTTCTGTCTAAAATTTACCTTTTGGAGGTTTTCCTTGAAATGAATATATTCTGTGACACCTGAAAATTTTCTGTTATCTTAATCCTTCTAGCTCCGAGAGGGTGGGAACTTCCCCAGGGCTCAGAGCTGTGTTGCTGACAGGGCCCAAGACTCACCTTAGGGCTGGGGCAGAGTGCAGACTCCGCATGTGGGAGAGCCTCAGGTTTGATGCCTAGTAGAGAGATAGACAGACAGGAATCATTGGGCATGATGATGTACACCTTTAATACCAACACTCAGGAGGCAGAGGCAAGCAGATCTCTATGAGTTCAAGATCATCCTGGTCTACTTAGGGAGTTCCAGGCCAGCCAGTGCCACACAGTAATTTCCTGTCTCAAAAAAAAAAAAAAAAAAAAAAAAAAGTCATACTTTTTAAGAAAAATTTTTTTAAAAGAGTGAAATTTTATGTGTATGAGTGTATTGCCTGCATGTATGTGAGTGTACCTGTGTCGTTTTTATGGTCAGATCTCCTTGATGCCCAGCCCAGCTGACGTTCATGTCCTCCTACTCCTATTGTAATAGTGTGTCAAATGGGAAGTCCCAGGGCCAAGACTTACCATGTCCAATATTGTCTTGAAAAGCCAATTACAGAAACAGGAAAGGAGCATGATATAAGACTAGTTTTCTAGTTCGGGTATTTTTGGGTTTTTGTTTTGTTTGCTTCTTAGAAGTCACCTGACTTAGAGGCAGAAAGGCGGCGAAGGCTTCCTGATGTGTAGCACCCACGGATGGGTCCATTGTCCCAACCAGCATTGGATCAGAGGATTATGTGTGGTCAGTTGGTCGTAACAGCCTGATTTGGCTTGCAAGCAGGTTTTATCTGCTACCATGTTCATTTTGAGGTAGTTACCAAAGTTCTAGAAAGTTCCCAGCACTGTCCAATTTAACACTAGATTCTTTAATGAGTTTAAAGAGCCACATAAGACTTTTTTTTTAGAGTTTATATATATGTATACTTTTGGTCTTTTTGATACAGGGTCTCCCTGTAGCCACAGCTAGCCTGGAACTTACTATATAGACCAGGCTGGCCTTGAACTCACAGAGATCTACCTGCCGCTGCCTCTCAAGTGCTGGGACTAAAGGCATGTGCCACCACACCCTGCACTAGAGTTTATATTTTTCAATATATATATATTTTTTTATTATTTTTATCTTATGAGTATGCATGTAATTGCCTGAATGTGGGTAAGTGTCGTGTAATGCCCACAGAGGACAGAAGAGGCTGTTGGATCCCCTGGAACTGGAGTTATGGACAGTTGTTAGCTGCCATGTGGGTGCTGGAATTTGACCGGGGCTTCTGCAAGAACAGTCTGTGTTCTTAACCACTGAGCCATCTTTCCAGCCCCTCAATGTATATTTTTATTGAATTTTTGTGCATTTCATACATCTTAGTTATATTTGGACCCTCCTCCCCTACATACACACCCCCTCCATAGCCTACTCACAGGATTTTATGCGTTCTGTCATACATGTTAAGACCTATCAAGTCAAGTTTGTGTACCCCTACATCCTTTGGTGTGAAGTCATCCACTGGAGCCTGTTCAGCCTATCTGGTATCACTTCCTAAAGAAGACCAACTCAGGGCTGGAGAGATGGCCCAGCAGTAAAGAGCACAGGCTGTTCTTGCAGAGGACTCAGGATTCATTCCCAACACTCACATGGTATAGCTCCAGTTCAGCGAGATCCAATACCCTCTTCTGACTTTCGCCTGCATTGTATAACACAGGTGCACCTACCTACATGCAGGCATTACACTCATACACATAAAATAAAGCAATAAATAAAATATTTAAAAAAACAGCAACAACCAGGGACCGATTTTGAGAAGGCTACTTTACTTTGAGCATCTGAAAGCACATTCCTGAGGCTAGGCAGAGAGGTCAAAGACGGGAAGGACAAAGGAGTGGAGGAACCAGGAGGAGGTGGATGTGAGGGGGCCACCACAGAAAGCCTCATCCAGACGTGGAGGTGCGCACGGGACACGGCTGCTGGATGGTGGGATAAGCTAGTACAGCGTCTCGCGGGCATGGGTTCGCAGGTGGCGCAGCAGGTGCGAATTGCGGCTGAAGCTCCGGCTGCACTGCGCGCAGGAGTAGGGCCTGGCACCTGTGTGTACCAGCAGGTGGCGCAGCAGATTGCAGGTACGACTGAAGCTCTTGCCGCACTCCGGACACTCCTGCGGGGCCTCCACCTCCAGACCTGCCCCTGTATGTGTGACCAGGTGGCGCTGCAGGTGGGCATTGCGCCTGAAACTGCGGCCACAGGTCGGGCAGCTGTAGGGCCGCTCGCCCGTGTGGCTGCGGCGGTGGCGGGTTAAGTTGGAGCTGTTGCGGAAGCGGTGGCCGCAGGTGTCGCAGGCATGGGGCTTCTCGCCCGTGTGGATGCGTTGGTGGCGTGCCAGGTGGGCACTCTGGCTGAAGCCCTCACCGCACTCGCTGCAACGGCACGGCTTCTCCCCCGTGTGGCTGCGCAGGTGGCGTGCCAGGTCTTGCATTTGGCCGAAGCTTTTGCCGCACTGGGCACAGTGGTGAGGGCGCAGGCCGACGTGGGTCAACAGATGGCGAGCGAGACCTGCGCGCCGCACAAAGCGTTTGCCACACTGGCTGCAGGCGTGGGGCTTCTCGCCTGTGTGCACCTGCTGGTGGCTGGCCAGCTGGGAACGCTGGGCAAAGCAGCGGCCACAGGCCTGGCAGGAAAAGGGTCGTTCACCTGTGTGTACTCGCCGGTGGGTCGCCAGGTGCTCGCTGCGCCGGAAAGTCTTGCCACAGTCACCGCACACGTAGGGCCTGCCCTCATGGCTGGAACTAAGGCTGCCCGGGTCTTCCGAGGACTGGTGGTCCTTGCCCCTGGCATGGATTCGCAGGTGACGCTTTAGGCTAGAGCGATGCTGGAAGGTCTGCCCGCAGTGGGGGCACAGCACGACGGTCACCTGTGGCACTTCTGTCTTGCCATCCTGGGCACATGTGGGCTTTTGTTCCTGGGCATGCGCCAGCAGGTGCTGCACAAGGCTGGAGCGACGCTGGAAGCCCTGGTCACACTCTGCGCATCGGAAAGCAGGCTCAGATGAATGCGTTAGCAGGTGCTTTGCTAGATGTGAGCTCTGACGGAAGCGGCGGTTGCAGAGGTGACAAGCGTGTGGCCGCTCATCCGTGTGTGTGCGCATGTGCAGCTTCAGGATGGAGCCGCGACCGAAGCTCTTCCCACAGCACAGACACAGGAAGGACCGTGAGCCGGAGCCGGAGCCGGAGCCGGAGCTAGAGCCAGAGCCAGGACCAGAGCCGCAGCTGGAGCCCGAGCTGGTGCCCAAGCCAGAGCCAGGGTGAGAGTGCAGCTGGTGAGCCTCAAGAAAAGACAGCTGCGGGAAGTTCACGCCACACTCTGTGCAAATGAACTGCATCTCTATCTCGGACTCTGGGGCATCTGCTGCCTCTGTGACCTCTATAACTTCACTGCTGTCTGGAGGGGTCCTTCTCGCACTAGGACCGCTTGCCTCATGCACTTGGGTCTCAGTATTAAGAGGTGCTCTTGATACCCCAGAGCTATCTGCCTGGGACTCTGTTGAGATGATGATGGGCCAAATACTCTCTCTGCGCTCTTCTACTTTAAGTTCCTCACTGTCTGGCATTCTGCTTCCAAATCCTGGGGAAGGAGCAAACAGAGCGATATCAGGCCTCTCTTGAAGAGCTACTAAGCATCACCAGAGCCTGATGGGCTCAGGTTCAGTGGAAAGAAACCCGGATCCTGCAGTGCTGGTGATAAACACAGACTAGGGCCAAATAAGAATGTGCCTTTTCTCTCCTCCCCACTCCCTGCTGTTTTTGAGACAGAATCTCCATATTGCCTGGAACTAGTGATCCTCCCTACCTCATCCTCCCAAATCCTGAGATAACAGCATACACAACCCTGCCTGACTCCATCACACCCTTTTAGAGTTCAGGCCCATTAAATACATTTACAATGTTGTTCCACAATTACTACTATCTCCAAGTGGAAACTTCATACCCATCAGCAATCACTCTCTTGAGCATTTTTATTTATTCATTTTATTTTTTTGGTAGTACTGGTAATTGAACCTACAACCTTATGCATGCTAGGCAAGTATTCTGTCACTGAGCTAGATCCCCAGCACTTAACTAACCTATTTTTAAAGCTCAAAATTGACAGACACAGCAGTGAAAGCTTCTCTAGTCCCAACACTCGGAGACAGGAGGATCTGTTGAAGGTTAGCGTGGACTACATACAGAGACACTGTCAAAGAATAATAGCAAAGTGACCTACAATTAACACACACAGATGGAATGGTATGCATCCTTAATCCCAGTACTCAGGAGGCAGAAACTAGTGGATCTCAGATTCCCTGTGAGACTGAGGCCAGCCTGTTCTATATAGTGAGTTCCAAACCAGCTGGGGCTACAAGGAGACCCTGTCTTAAAAACAGACAAACAAAACAAAAAAATAGACACAAGGTACTGTTAGAAAGAAAAAGGAGGAAGAGGAAGGAAGAAAGAGTTCCTAGATTCTATTAGGGATACCACTAACACACACACACACACACACACACACACACACACACACACACACAAAACAAAAAAAAAAAAAAAAAAAGAAAACTTCATCAACGTCAATCCACCAAAGAGGTAAAAAAGTTAGGTAGAGTCTAAAACTGTAGCCATGACTATGGAGGATGAGACTTACCAAGAGGGTGTGCAGGCCACACCTTCTTCTCTGAGTCATCCTCAAAGGTCAGGGACTCCTGTAAGGAGAGCCAAGACCACACTGAGTGAGGAATGGGCCCTGTAGCCTAAGTGGAATAAAGCACTTTCTGGGATTAAATGAAAGAAAAACATGGATTGCTAAAGACTCCGGGTGGACTCTAGGGTCTGAGAAGGACCTGGGATAGGGGATCAGCTCAGCTCACCAGCACAGCTGCCAGTTCTTGGTCTCTGGAATTCTCCTCCAGCCATGAGGGGCCCTGGGAAGGATCTAGGGGAGGGACACATTGCTATTAGAAGGAAGTGTTGCCCACTATGTGGCTTTCAAGATACAACCCTCCCCCATCCCCAAGAATTCATGAGGCCATCCCAGCTCTCTCCCCATCCACCCTCCTTCCAGCCCCCACCCACACATGCAGTCTGCCTCCCAGGATGCCAGCTCCTCACAGCTTTCCTGTAGGCCCTGGAGTATCCTCTGGGGCTCTGGGCTCACTGGCCACTTTGAACTTGGGGCAAGTCTGCACTCCCCAATTTCAGCTGGCCTGGTGGGCACTGGCTGAGATGGGGGTAATTCATTCAATGGATGTAGGACCGGAGGCTCTTCTGAGGGCAACTCCCTTTTGGGGCTGTGGCTGGGGACCTGGGAAGAGCTCACTTGTCCCTCCAAGGTGATGTCTGCAGGGGGATAATTCTTGCCAGCACTGAAGCTAAAATCCTGTTAAAAATATCTATGTTAGAAGACAGGCTGTATACCATGGTCTACTGGATCTACCAGGAAGGACAGAGGGGTTGGGAAAGTCACATAAGGGTGAAAATGAATTGGTAGATGTGATTGGATAGAAGGGCCTTTTTTGCATTCTACATTATAAGAACACATTTGTACTTGATATTGTAGAACAGACTCTACAAATATATGTTAACAGCTTAGCATGCATGCATTGCTAGCAGTTTGTTCTGAGTGAGCCCCCACCTTGGTCTAGATGCCACTGAAGAAGTACAAGGTTAATGCCAACAGAAAATAACTAGACTCAGGGTTGGAGAGCTTAGGCCCAGACATTAACAGAACAAGCGTCCAAGGGATGATCATGAGAGAGGCACAGACATCACAAGCATCAGAAATGTGGCTGGCCACCTAACCAGAGGGGCGACACTGAGTCTTGGAAAGACTAACTGCTTTTGTTCACATGCCCTTGTCCCCTTCTTCCAGTTCCAGGGGATCTGATGCCTTCTTCTGACCTCCTTGGGCATTGCATGACACCAGTGCACTTACACACATACAGGCAATGTGCTCATACACATAAAATAAAAATAAATAAGGGCTGGAGAGATGGCTCAGGGCTTAAGAACACTGACTGTTCTTGCAGAAGAGCCGGGTTCGAATCCCAGCACCCACATGGCAGCTAACAACTGTCTGTAACTCCAGTTCCAGGGGATGCGACAGCTTCTTCTGTCCCCTGCAGGCATTGCACAACACGAGTGCACTTACATAACACTCATGCACATAAAAATAATTTTAAAAAATTAAAAAATATTTTTAAAAACATCCAGCTGGGTATGGTGGTGCATCCCTTTAATCCCAGCACTTGGGAGGCAGAGGCAGGCAGATCTTTGTGAGTTCGAGGCCAGCCTGGTCTACATAGTGAGTTCCAGGACA